CAACGTTATTAGAGTGTGTTCCTCTCGACTAAGGCGCTTTCTAAAATGCAACCATTTGAGAAAAGTACCGTCGTCAAACCGTTAGTTTTCATCAGATCAATCCAATTTTTTCATCATTCAATGAACCTTCTGATTCTTCATCAAATGATACCAAAATTGAGGTGATCTGATGTAAATTGGCAGTTTGACTACGGTAGTTTTCTCAAGTAGGTGCATTTTAAAAAACGCGTTAGTCGAGAGGAACACACTCTAAACGTTATCAGCCTCTAACAAAAGGCTCAAGGCAGAGAGAGGAAACCGCAAAAAGAGCACACAAAGACGGGGGGGCGGGGTGGTTTTACTTTCCGCCAAATTTTTTGCGCAACTTTTCATCACATCTTTTCGTTTTGTTGTTAATTTGGTTAGTTTGAATAAATCTTCATAAAAACAAAGCTTGTAATATTAAAAATGGAACTGAGAAAAGAAGTCGGAAAAGGTGCAAAGAGTGCCATTTGTTAAAACGTGTTGAAAAGTTGGGCAAATGACCCTTTTGCGCAAAAATTTGGCGGAAAGTAACCATCCCCCCCCGCCAAGACCAAAAAAAGTTCTAGAAAGGTTGATTACGGTTAGTTATATAGGTACACTTTTTAAATATCCTAAACATTAAAGATATTCAGTTTACTAAATGAAAATCTGCGACAGCTGCAGGAAAGTTGCAGGAAAGTTGGTGAAAATGAATTTAGGCCAAAAATCATTTTCACCAACTTTCCTGCAACTTTCTTGAGCCTTATTTGTTACCGTATTTTCTGTAGTAGTAGTTTAGTCTATAATAGTAGTGCAGGCAGGAGGGGGTTTGTAAAAAATAGTAGTGCACCCTGCTAAAATTTGCTCTGTGGTTGTTCACTTTAACTTCCTTTGTTTTAAAAGCATACTGGTAGCTAAATGAGATGCTATTATAAGATTGTGACTATTTATTTAGTACTGACTAAAATATTGTGCTTGTAATTAACTCTTTTGCATATTGCTACTACTTCTTTTGGTACTTATGGGTCTTACCCACCGCACATTTAAGCACTTGACTAAACAAAGGCTGAAACTATGCCTTTCTTAGTTTAGCTTAGTCTTCATCTACTATAATTTTATTTAGAAGAATAATTTAAACATATTTGCCCATAAAATAAATCTACTTGCACTAAAATTGACATATTTTTATGATGGAAAAATAGGCGGTAGCTATAACCCATAAGTACTCTTCTTTTATTGATTTACAAGCATTTTCTTATTCTTTTCAAAGTCTGATTTTTTAGAAATGGAACTCGACGGCGATTCCGACAAACAATTGCAAGAGTTTCGTACAAAGCATGAACACTATCAATTCGAAAAGGATGCTCGAGATTGGAACGCTCAATGCAAAGAGGATTTTCTCGTGCCTGAAGATGAAAGAAACTTGGATGCCAATGAAACCAATATTGCTGACAATCTATCGGCAACTGGCGAAGAGGAGCCTGATGAGGAACCTTTTCGAAAACGCAAAGTGACCCCATCCGAGATGGGGTCGAAGAAAAAACGCCGTTTTGACGTCGAGACCAAGCTTATGGTTGTCGCCTTTGCGGAAAAGACTGACAAATCAGCCGCCACTAAGAGATTCTGTGTTCATCGGCAAAATTTTCTTTAGTGGTGTAAGCAAAAGGACGATCTTGTGAAACCAAAAGGAAAACAATTGAAGCGCCTTGAAGGTGGTGGTCGGAAATTGAAGGACGCAGCTTTCGACAACGAGCTTGTCAATTGCATCCGAGAAAAGCGATTAAAGTAATTACGATTGACTCGCAAAATGATCTAAAGCCAAGCTCAAATGAGTTGCAATTTCAATGACCCTTTTGCGCAAAAAAATTTGGCGGAAAGTAACCAGTCTCGAGATTTGCTTCACTAAAGAAAACCATTCTTTTCTCAGCTCCTAGCTCTTTCATAGCTATATATTTAATACCAAAAAATATCAGATTTCAAAGGCTATCATTTGACACCCATACGCAAAATGTAGCTTAAACCAGCGCGGAGAATGAGACGTTCATAGTAAGACTACGCGATTGTACGCTCGCCATTATGGCGTTCTATTAGAGTGCAATTTTTTTGGTCAACTTAAGTTGCTTTGGTGTCAAATGATAGCCTTTAAAGCTAGTATTTTTTGGTATCAAAAGTGTACTTGGGAAGGACCTACCGTAAATACTGTAATAGTACCCCACCCCCCTCGTACAGGCGCGTAGTCGCAAAAGTTTTTTAGTATTTAATTTTTTTCAAAGCGCCCGTACTTTCAAAGCTAGACTACGCAACACTCCGCACGGTCATTATGGGGGTGGGGTACTATTGCAGTATTTACGGTAGGTCTATTTTCCATAAAAATAGCAAATTGTGTTTTCTAAAATGTGCTCTCTTTGTTTTTGAAGATATTCAGTTAATCAATTGAGTAACTTTTGAGTAAATTTCTTGCAACTTTCTTGAGCCTTACTTGTTATACTTTTCACGAAATATTGCATTACTGTGCGATTAAATTTGACCCAGACAGCTTGTCCTTATTGGCGGGTAATATTTCAGATGATCCTATCCGTTTCCGTACAATTTTTTTTTCAGAAGCAAGGCTCTTTAATCTTAGGCTTCGGGTTCAAAGACTTGTAGCAGCCAAGCTTCACTAGCCATACAACTCTGTCCACCCACCCCATTTCCCGTTTGCATAGTGCTTGTTTCTTCCCAATTATCATACTGAAATTTTGTGCTGTTTTAACATTCCCGGTTTACAGACCGTTTATGTATTCAAGTTAATTGCAACACTAACTAATTATTTTTAGACGTTCCCCGCCCCTGTATCCTTCATTTGCTGGTTGATGGATCCAAACATATTGGGTAACGAGATATCTTTCACCTATTGAGTACTAAATTCCATCAACTTTAGGTTCTGCAACGCTGCATCCAATGGCCCAATCCATAAACAAATGGATGTTCTATGCTCTCGATCAGACAGAAACTCACAAATCGACGGTGGTCTGCATCCATCAACGCTACTTCATCACCCTCCGTCAAGGGCCACACCTCGAATTGAAAGTTGGAGATTCTTTTCGAATCTTTCCTGCAAACGAGGAATCTGCTCAAGATCGTGGGCGCCATGTCACCGTCGTGAACATAAACGAAGACTTAAACTTTATTTTGCTCCGAAGCGAAGAGTATATCGGTGAGGTAAAATTTGTGAAAATATGCCTAGTTAGCGAGTATTTTTTCTAGGAACCTCCGGGATTCGTGCAAGCTGAGGAATCCGAAAGCTTCCTTCTGGCAGGATTTGGTGTCGTGAACACTGGAAGACAGGAACTAGTCTACTCAACCGGAATCGTTCACACGCTTGGTTATTGTTGGATGCCCCACAGCGAGAGGCCGGATGCAGGCATGCAGGGCCCATTTTTTCTTGGAACGGTATCGAGTTCATTCTTAGATTCAGGTAAAATTTTTTTGTTTTAAGTTTTACAAAAAAAAATGTTTATTTCTATACAAAGAACTTTAGGCGGAGGGTGCTGGAGCGCCAGGGGGCTTATTGGAATCGACTGCGGTGTTACTGCCATGCCAGCGTCGGACTACTTGGAAAGACTACCCATTTCAAGAGCGGCAATCTACAGCCCCAGGAACTATATGATTGCGGCGACTTCCATTAAGCTAAGTCTCGAGGTAACATTTAAAAGATTAACTTTCATTGAAATTAAATTTACAATTTATAGGCTGAATTGAAGACAAGAAGAATGAATGCGGAGAAGAGAAAAAAGAAGGACAGGGACGATGACGAGGACGAACCTCCTAAGAAGCATAAGCATTTACTTTAAGTTTATGAAGCGTTCTTTGGCGATCAAATGAATGAACGAAGGACCAAAAGTAATTTACTAAACCAGATTCTTCTTGTGACATATTCCCCCTTGTTTTGTTTTGGAATGCTTTAACTAATCTAATTTAATTTTTGTTGTATAAAATATAAAAGTGTGAAGTATCTGGTATTGATGCCCTTATTATCGATGTATGATTTATGTAAATTGGTGGGCTTGTTAATAAAACTGTTCAATGGATTAAAGTGGGGCGGACGGTTTTACGGATTGCCCCGTATGATTTTGGGTAGTATTGTTACTAAATTATGTAATTTTATCAATTTTTAAAATAGAAAATGCGCTTTAGTTGATTATGATATTGAAACTCTTTTAGGTAGAAGAAACTCGGAGAGTCGGGCAACGAGAAGGAAATGGGCGAAAAGAGAGGAGGAGAAAAAGAGAGGGTCTGATATTTTACTTTGTTTACAAGTTGTAATTTTTTAGTTGGAGATCAACGTCGATGAAGATCTCAAGGAGAAAGAGGGACATCGACATTCTTGTCATCGACATGTTTTCTTGTTTCTCGTGCATCTTCCTTTTTAGGACCCGACCCCTCACAAGCAGAAAATGAAAGCGTTGGCCCGCCAATGAGCAACAATCAAGTGAAACGTTCTTTGGTCTTGAAACCAAAAATGCGTTCTTTGGTCAACTATTGCTTTGATGTCCAACGACCACGCGTGGAACACGTTCGTGTATGCTGAATGCATCTCTTCAAGAAAAATCATGATCATTTAGATGTCCGTATTATGATGATTGCAGTACGAGAAAAGTTGCGGATGTCCAAAGAAGATGTAGGTTTTTTAAACACGCTCCGTGAAACAAAAATTGTTTAGATTAATGAAATTATTGAGCTTTCCAATTATGACGTCAAACAATGTATCTACAATCTTCAAATGCGGAAAGCCATTCCCAACCTGCACATTACACAAAAAGATATTACAATTGTGGGTTTTATTCTTTACAGCGACAGTTGTGTTCTGCTTCAGAATGCTCGAGCTGGAGTAAGTTTTGAAAAAATCTAATGGGAAAATTTATCGTATCATATTTTAGATTAGCGAATTGGTCGACATCATCAAATAGACAATGATTCCAATCATTTGTGTATGCAATGACCGTGCTCATCCAAAAATGCGTTCTTTGGTCAACTACTGCTTTGATGTCCAACGACCACGCGTGGAACACGTTCGGGTATGCTGAATGCATTTCTTCAAGAAAAATCATGATCATTTAGAGCCGTATTATGATGATTGCAGTACGAGAAAAGTTGTGGATGTCCAAAGAAGATGTAGGTTTTCTAAACACGCTCCGTGAAACAAAAATTGTTTAGTTTTGATGAAATTATTGAGCTTTCCAATCGTGACGTCAAACAATGTATCTACAATCTTCAAATGCGCAAAGCCATTCCCAACCTGCACATTACAGAAAAAGATGTTACAATTGTGAGTTTTATTCTTTACAGCGACAGTTGTGTTCTGCTTCAGAATGCTTCCGAAGCAGCTTGACGTTTACTTAGTAAATCTTCGACTCTCCAAGAAAAACAGGAAATGTTTTTCGTTGACTATGATGTCATGCCGCTCTTTGTCTTTGAGAATTATCTCCATCTGACAAACAATGGACGAAGGTTTGTAATTTTTTTGAAAAACTTTTATTTGCATATTTAGCAAAGTCGACCATTTGGCCAGTATTCGTCTAGCGGCTGAGTTCCTCGTTATGGGTGGATAAACAAATTCGTAGTGGTGGTGAATTGAATCTATTCGAGTTGAACTTGTCCGAATTGAATTTGCGAGGTGTATCCTCAACTTTTTGATGAGTTTTCTTGTCCAAACTTCGTAGAGCTTCATAATTTTGCCTAGCTTGAATTTCAATTTCAATCTTTTGCATCAACTTTGTGGTGTTCCATTCATCACCAGAATCTCGTTCTTTTTCGTCTACTTTTGCGATGATCGAAATAGGAAACTTTGTTTTGATCTCGCGCTTCATGAGCACAGATTCAACATTTTCCCCTTGCTCTTCCAAACTTTCAAGTAAACTTTTCATGTCGTAAAATGTGTTAAACATATCATCAATTTGATTCGAGCTTCTAGGCACGGACTCTATTGCATTGGCGATAGCGGCTTTTTGAATTTGCGGGTTCTCATAATAATTTTTTAGATTTGTGATGGCGCTCTGGTAAAAGTTACCGTTTTTGCTAGCGTTCTTGATGAATCTAACAGCTTTGCCTCTACACGTTTGCGTAAGGACATTTAACTTTACTAAATCATCATGACGCGTCGAGTGAACATATTTGTCAAAAATTTTCCAATAGTTATGCCAATTTTCATAGCTACCATCAAAATCGGGTATGTTTAATTGAAAGTAACCTCGTTGAAGTTGAGCCATTCCTCCTCTCGCATCGTCCGATTCATTATCGCTCGCATTTGCTGCAATTGATGATGGGCATTGGATGTCCTTCCCACTTGGCTGTCCACTCGACTTTTCACGAGCTTGCTTCATAGCCAATTTCAAATTAAATGTTAGGTCAAGTAACTTCTCATAATCTTCATCTTTCCCCTCAAGGTATTCTCCCCATTCTTCAACTTCTTCGGGAGTAAAACTTTGAACTTCTCCATCTCGAATTTCATCTACTCTTTCTTTGTAGTTATTCATCTTCGCTACGTCAGTATCTGACTGCGTTAGCAATTTTTCAACTTTTCCGGGGTTATTTTCAACCTCCAAATCTCGAATAAGCTTTAACGAACTTTCCTCAAATGCTAGGCCACTATTTAGAGCTCTAGTCATTTGGGCTTTGACACGAATTATCAACTTCTGTGCCATTGCGAACTTTCCCTTGAGTAGTTTCCTGGCCTGCGTGTAAGAAATTATATGTTGATGTTTTGATCTATATAATTTCTTGTGAGACCGTGTCTCGGTGTGGTTCAATGGTGGTCTTCTTGAAAACGTAATAATTTATCCAACTTTCCCTTATTAGGGCAACTTCGCTCAAACTAGAGCAACTTGGCACTATCACAATTAAATCAACACTTGAATGTGAAAAAAGAATGATAAAGCACAAAAAAGAAGAACAACAAACTCACTCAAAAGCAAAGCTTAAATAATGGGTTTTTTAAGCATACAAGCTACAACAACCGGACAGCTGAATATCATTTAGTGACTGATTACGGTAGTTTATCCACCAACGTTGAACTTTAACTTGTATTGAATCTTTGACTAACTGCAGAGCAGTGGCAATTCGCCACACCGATATTCTAATAACCGAGTTCTTACAAATTTTGTATATTTAGTCAATGCTTTCTGCTGCTTCGATGGCTTTATCTTTATCTTCTATGGCAATGCATGGGCACTTAAAAACACAGGTATATTTTCTCGATGCTCAACATTTTTCTTTAGATTTTGCGTGGCTTGGTAAATATTCGAGCTGGGAGCTGTGTCTTAAAAGCAAAATATGAAGGAATTTTTGGAGAAGTTGTTGATTCGAGATGATGAATATTCTTTAGTTTGCTTGAATTTTTCTTTTTAGACAAAGGTTTCTAAAAGAGCTCGAGCTTTAACCAAAGAGCACCGAGTGCTACCTTCTGCTCTTGATGACGTGGGAAAGAAAGGCGGTAGCGCCAGCGATAGTTCGTTATAATCTTTGGGTTTCTTTTAATTTGAGCTTATTTAGCTTTTGAAGCGGAAATCGACGAGGAAGGTTTTGTGGTGGAGCGAGGAGGAGCTGAAGGAGAGGAAGAGCAAGAGAGTGACGGGAGCAACGACAAGCAGGAGGCCGCTGGAGGCAATAATGCAGATTCACTTGGTTTTACTTGACTTAGAGTGGCCTAATGTAGTTTGATAGACTCATAGAAGGATATGGTTTATCAGAACAGAAAAACGATAGAAAAGTTTACTTATTGTTCTTTTGTGAACCTTTGATTTGTGTAAATTGATCAATGTTCTACATCAGAAAATATCGTAGGCAATTTATATTCATTTTCCAATTTTGGCCGGAATATTTTGATCCATTCTTCACTCGCTGTTGCCATTGTTTGATTACAGGTTCATTGCTACCAGCCATCTAAAGTCATTTCTTAACAGTTACCCAGATTGAACTCGGTACTTTTTCTTGTTACCCTCGGTGACGTCGCCTTCATTATTAGTGTTAGAAAGATCTTGATGTTTTTCTTGTTTACGATGTGTTATACATAGCTAAATTTATTCAAATAAATTTATGCACCACAAATAAATGTTGACCGTTTTATGCAATGAATTTGTAGTAACAGATAAATAGAATTTCTCAACTGCATCACAGTGAAACCTGAGACAACTGAATTCAGAAGTGAAAAAAAATTTGAGATCAGAACGGAGAAGAGTGAAAGGCGAGACTCAAAAGCCAATAGGAACGTAGGAGCGAAATATCACAAAAAGAATCATTACATTTAGTAAATTAGCGCTTTCCAATACACCCGGGGACTATGGTTCATCAAGGCCGACAATACAACCATAAGGGCCACCACAAGGCTTCCCCTCCTTCTCAAGAGAAGCTTTGACAGAAGCACATTTGTCGCTTGCCAATTCACCCTAGAAATTATAAATTTAATTTCAATAATTATTTTCAAAATATTACCAAGATCGATACTCTAATGTGAGTTGCTGGAGAAATATAATTCGTGGGACTGAAGATTGCCTCTTCTGAAATTGCGTGGGTGTAGGTCGTCCCTGGCACGGTGATAACACCACAAATGATACCAATAAGCCCCTTGGCGCTCCAGCATGCTCCGCCTAAAATTTTTCATACAGAAATAAGCATTTTTGAACCTTTTTCTTTTGGATTATACGAACAAAATATTTACCTGAATCTCCTCTCGAACCCGGTACAGTTCCCAAAACTAATGGACCCATCGATTTGCCACTGCGGCAGAAATGGTGACCAACTGAGTGAACGATTCCGGTTGAGTAGACTAATTGCTGTGTTCCAGTGTTCATGTCGCCAAATCCTGCCAGGAGGAAGCTCTCCGATTTCTCAGCTGGAACCAATCGCGGCGATTTCTAAAAAATACTCGCTAAATAGGCAGTTTCGCAAATTTTACCGGGCCAATAGCCTTTTCGCTTCGGAGTACAATGAAGCCAAAGCGCTCTTCTATTTTCACGACGGTGACTTCGTACCCTTCATTACCGACGCCTTCATTAGTTTCACTCTTTGCAGGAAAGATTCGAAGAGCACTTCCGATTTGAAGTTGAAGGTTTCCCCCGTGACGTGTGACGAAATAGCGTGGATGGATGCACACCACCGTCGATTTTCCGGTCACTAGATCGGAAGCATAGAACATCCATTTGTTTATGGTTTCGGGGATTGGAAGTGGCGTTGAAGAAACTAAAATTGATAGAATTTAGTGAATTTAGTAGGTGCAAGAGTGTTAATCTGGGTTGATCTAGTCCAAAATGTGTTAATCTAGTCCAAAATGGTAATACTCCCAATGAATTGTATAGGCTTGGAATTGTCTTTTTACCTTTGGGATCTGGCGATTCATGGCGAGGTTCAGCTGAAGAGCCGGGAGCTCTCACGATTGCAGTCGACGGTCGAAACCCACGTTCTCCTTCCCATTCAAGCTTATAAGTTTGACCCTTCCAATTGTCGCCGAGTTCATAAATAAAATCTTCACCTTCGGGACGGACCCTAAATTAATGCAATTATTCACTAATCAAACCATTAAATCACACAATGTTTAAGACTCACCCCAGAAACAAGTCATCTTTCCAAAGTGAAACTGGCAATTCTTTATCAAGCTGAAATGCACGTCGCAGAGTGTATTCGTTGATTTGACCACATTGAACTTGGACTTTGACGACTTTCTTATCTTTTCCATGCACGATGATATACTAAAATAAGATTATGAAAGCCGATTAGAATAGAAAAGCGTACGTTTGGTTCCATCAACAAACAAATGAAGGATACAAAGCAAGTCGAAAGTCTAAAAATAATGAGTTAGTTTTGTAATTAGCTTGAATAGATAAACGGTTTGTGAAGACGAAATGCTAAAACAACAAAAATAAAGTATGAATATTGAGGAGAAACAAGCACTTTGTCGTCTCAAAAAATTTGAAACCATCCGTTGCTTGCAGAAAATGACTTTGTGAAATACAAGTTCAACTCGTGAAAGAAATCCTTTGCTTTATTTTCAACCCTCCGACGAGAGACTTTTAATTTTTCTTCTCGCTTCTTTTTGATCTATTGATCCAGTCGCCTCCTCGACGGCGCGAAACTGAGATGCACGGCCTCCTCCTTTGCGCCGTTTTACTCCTTTTGCTTCTTTTTGTAGCAATTCTTCTTTTGCCGTCCAATCTCGAATCATCTTCGGGGTAATATTGAACCGTCGAGCAGCCGCTTCCTTTGATTTCTCCTTTGAAAAACGAACAGCTTCGAGTTTGAATGCTGATGAGTAGGCCTTTCGTTTGGCTTTCGCTCCCATAACTGTTGAATTCGACATCACCTAAAAAAGAAAAATTATTAACGCAATATAATATGAGAAACATCAGGAAAAAGCACGAAACGGAATAAAACTACACTTTTGGGCTTACTTTTCTGCTTTCGGATACGGTAATTTTAGCGCAAGATAGAAAACAAGTCATACCTCGAGTAAAAGAACGGTCTTCTATTCGAAGAAATACGATAACTTGTTTCAACATATACCGTTTTAGGCCCAAACAACGAGACGCTTCGACTGGAGCGCTGGTTTTTCACGGATCTCGATCAACGTCTCTGGCTGACCAGCACCGTTGTGTGAATCGACTTCGAGTGTACTTTGCGCTCACCTGTAAACGCATCCTTTCTAGTGGACATAATTCTTCATTTTCTTGCAAGATCGTGAGGAAAACAAAGAATTCAGTGCACCAGAGGGATGTGTTTGCAAGATTTGAGCACAAATACATTTGAGGTTAAATGCTGGCTGTCTGGCGTAATGAATCTATTTTTACAGATGCCTTTTCGTGAATATTGTCTGCGCAATCCTCACCATTCATCTCCTCGTCTTTCACTTCAAAATCAGTGAGTGAAACGATTGAAAATGAGTGAAAATGAGTGAAAATGAAAAGAATTCGAGAATTTTCAGTTCGTCAAGGCATTTCTACTATTAAAAGTATTAAAAGTATAGCTAGGAAAAATCTAGGAGCTGAGAAAAGAACATGGACATTTGAAACAATATCTTTCTTTAGTGAAGCAAATCTCGAGACTCAGCAACACCAAAAGCGTGCCTCATTGTTGCCGACGATACAGTACGATCAGTACGATCAATACAGTAGAATAGAGTACAATACAGTACTATACAATACCGTATAATAGATTACAATACAGTACGATACAAGACAGTACAATACGGTATCATATAGTAGAGTACAGTACAATACAATAGAGTACAATACAGTACAAAAGAGTAGAGTACAGTACGATACAATGCAGTACAATACAGTACGATATAGCACAGTATAGTACAATACAGTACAGTATGCAAAGTGATAAGTACCGTAATCTTGCCTACTTTAGTTTAGAATTGATCATCTGTGTGTACTTTGTCGAATCTTGTAAACGCACACTTTCGGGTGCATTGAATTCTTTCTTTCTTGAGGGAAAATGATCTAGTACGCTAGAAAGCGTGCGTTTAACTGAAAGCACAAAGTACTCGTACTTTGTACAAAGTACAAAGTACTCTTTTCTCTGAAAAGTCTAGACTTTACCTTTTCTTGAAGAAATTTTGTCAATTTTTCTCAATTTCCATTCAATTCTCAATTTCCAAATCTTTTCCAAATCATCAATCGCATCTTTTCATTCGAATTAGTCGGGGAAATCAGCAAAAAGTCCACTGATTTTCCTTGATTTTCTTCAGTCAACTGATTTCCTTTTTTTTTTAGCAACAAAATTGACAATATTTCCGGGTTTTTGCTTGAAAACTAAAACTCAATTTGAAATCTTTTATATTTTTTAAGTTATTTCTACCCTAAATACTGTAATAGTACCCCACCCACCTCGTATAGTCGCGTAGTCGCAAAAGTCTTTTAGTATTTCATTTTTCTCAAAGCGCTCGTACTTTCAAAAAATGCGTCTTTGGTATCAAAAAATAGCCCTGAATTTCAGCTTTTTTTTTGATACCAAAACGCGCATTGTAGCATAAACCAGTGTCGAGAAAAACTCGTTCAAAGCTAGACTACTCGACACTCTGCACCGTCATTATGGGGGTGGGGTACTATTACAGTATTTACGGTAGGTATTTCAACGGAAACGCACCCTCTCTAGCACACTATTTACTTGTACTTTGAGCTCAAATGTTAAATGCATCCCGTTTAGCGCACTGGAGTTTTGCTTTGCTTTGCTTTCCCAAGGAATTGCACCAGAAAGCGTTTACAAGAGCACAAAGTACATTTCGAAGCGGAAACACAGACATCTGGCACACCAAAGCTGGTTCAATTACGCAATAAAGATCAAAGCCTTGAATCAAAGAGCTTCAAAGTGTTCGCTCGGGTTTACTGTAGAGCTAACAGAAAACGGTAATAAGATTACGGTAGGTTACGGTAGGTTACGACAGGATACGACAGGATACGATAGAATACGATAAACTTACAGTACTTTATTAAAAATCTTTTAATTATTCATAAAATTACATATTATGAGAAAAAATAGACCTTTTAAGGTTCAAAAATGGCTCAACAAGTACTTTTTTTATCGATTTCACATAAAATCTTTCATTTTTTTTTCAAATTTCTTTTTTTTTTTGATGCATATGAGCCGATTTGTCGAAAAAGTATTTGAAAAAAAGCAAAAAATTTTTGCATTTTTA